CTAATGCTACTTTAGATATACATTTGTAGTTATTGTTGGTTTCTTTTCCGTGTACAGTGGAGTATGAAATGACTGACATTTTGCGAGATATATGAATTGGGAGGTGTTATTAGAAATGCAGTTTTTTTAAGGCTGGGAAGGTAAATAAAGCTAGGGAACATTTTGGTGACCATTTAGAATAACTTTTAAGTGCTCTTTAAGTGCTAAAATTAATGAGGGCAATGGAAAATAAAGTGCATTTCATCCTCCACTGCATTTCCTGTGAATATTTACATATTCTGTCATTAACAGACAGTTGTTTGCATGTACCCTTTTCTATTTCTAATGTATGTGCGCTAACTCTAACCTTACATATGGCTGATCTAACATCGAAGTCTTTGATGTGAAGATAACGTTCCATTGTGTATACAGGTTTCAGATGGCTATAAAACCTTAGCCCGACATCAACAGAGAGATAATCATTGTAAAGAAAGGTTTGAATATACATGTCAGAGAGTCTACTTCTAAGTAATGTTCATATGTGTTGCTTATCGAGATCGATGTTGTCGTTATGCCAGATATATGAGAAGCCACTCCGGTCAAGTATTTCTTTCACATGGTGTAGCAGATTTTTCTTGTGACCATGCATTAACATATGTTGTCTCAGTCTTAACCAATACTTGTCTAATCGTACCGATACGTCTGTGTCTAGTGAAAATCTACCGAGCTCTGCTTTGCATGCTCCGTTGCTAGCGTTTCTTTGTACACCATGATTTTTTTTACAGAAGCGATTTATATGGACAGCTTCAATATGACAGTTGTCATTTGAAAAATCTTTTCCCCAGGTTAACTTGGATTTCCATTTTGTACAGAAAGTGTTTAGTTTGTGAAGGGCACATTGAAGTCCTTTCTCGGCTTCCGAGAAAAGTACGACATCAACTCCATAGAGTAAGCAGGAAATGGATAAATTCTGTAGGGAGGGTGGCACGCATTCTGGACTATCTAACATCTTGACTAAATCATTTATGAACAGGCTGAATAGAGTCGGACTAATGTTACAGCCCTGCCTCACACATTTGTCCGTGACGAAGGGTGGTGTTAGAGCAGAGGAGGTTTTGATGCATGTTTGCGGGTTATGTTGGCAAACTGTGCTAAAAGTCACAAGAACACTTGAAAAACAGAGTTTTGTGCTTATTTACTGCTAAAATTAATGAATGGATTTCGGGAGAACGATTGCTTAAGGCTCCCGCCCCAGTGCATTCCTAAGTCATCTATGCAAACAGTTGCCTTAGGTCACATCAATTTAATTTCTTAGTTAGCGTATTTTTCTGGAAAAATAATGGAGTGGACGGGCGAAAAAAAAATAAAAACAGGCCTAGGCATCCTATTACGGCCCAAAATGGTACAATAGGAGCCATGAAATCAACACACAAGGCTGGTTCAAAATTTAAACAATAAATTTCGAACTTTTAATGATACCACTGCATTGAAAGATGGGATAACTGTAACAATTAGGATGAAAAGGACTGTTTTCAACTGTTCAGGGCAAAAATATGAGCATTTTGCAGTTGATTCTGAATTCTTATTTTTATTTGCAAATCAGAAAAAAATTAAGCGGGCGAATCCGTTAACCAAAAGGTAAATTGGTGTGGCCTTACCTAAAAATTATAAACAACATCTTTCATACAAAAGTTAATGCATTATAAAAAATATAAGTTTGAAGTATTACTATCAACACACTAATCGCCTCTGCCCATATTGATTCCATTTTAGAGGTAATATACGAAGCTAATGTATATACATTATATATGTAGCAAGAATTAAGATGAATTCATTGAAATGTCATTGGAAACAAGGTAAGACGTCTTCTTTATGCATTTACGACTCAAAATGCCACAATCCTATTGGCTGACAGGATCTCACCCCCACACAGAAAATGACTAAGGAATGACACGTTACACAAATTTTACAAATGATGATTGGGTCATTCCAATTTATGCTCCTGCTTCTTGACTAAAGAAAAATTAAGGGATATATTAGTATAACATCTGTTCAGCACCAAGGACAGGTACTACCGAGAACCAGGGAGATAACTTGATGTGGGCTTATAAAATGTATAAAACATCCAATCAACTCATCACGTTCACAAAAGATAAAAGATAGAAGTTAAATAAATGCACGCCACTCGCAGTTCTTAATCGATTTATTAGTCTATAAGCTGCGAGCACCACACCTCGAATCTACCAAGAGCCAACTGTGGAAAGGCTTCACTTAACTGTAAGTACTTGAGTCATAAATTAAGTCCCTAGAAGTAGTAGAAAAACGTAGAGGTAGTGCTTCATGCCCAATGTTGTTAGTATCTTATTAATTTTAAACTACTCAATACCAATTTCAGAGGAAGCATCGTCATTAGAACTACCTTTGGCTGAGATACAAAAACAGACTTAATATTTCTAAAATAAATTCAAGAATTGTACCAAGGAAAAGCCGAGTGAAAAAAATTACAATTGGCACTCCGAAACTTCAAGCAGCACCAAATGCCCACAAACAGCTCAGGTCAGTTAAGGCCTATGCAATTTGTTTATTGTTTATATTTATTGAAACCAAATCCCATCAAGGCCTCAAGGATGAATCGTGAGGTTTGTACAAAAGTCTCGAGCATGTTACACTTACTACTACCTTTTTACATTTACAAATAACTACTTACTACATTTTAAGAACATGATACTAAAATACACAATATACTGCACTATAGTATTTTGCAGCTGCGACATTTAAGCGAGTTAAAACAATTCTAAAAGAAAGGTCTAACAAAACACAGTCTTTCGGATATTATACTTGAAAGGGACACGAAATAACGGCTTAAAAACACAAGTCCAGGCAGATCGGAATACTATTACGGAGAGTAGATTATTACAAAGTCTCATTGTAAAGTCTGACAACAGCGTACAGAAATGGTTGGATCGAAAGCGGATCTCGCGTTTGGATTCTTCCATTCCAGCCGATTTTATGGTTGCATCACTGATACAACTGAACGCTGGTGATTTCCAATGTACCTATATGATCTATGTTTATAGACGAATAGGGATTCAAAAGATTCAGCTCTCTATTTCTCTTTGTTTACTCGATTTTACCGCAAGTGTGGAAGGGAGGACAAAACAGGTGACACCTTTACAAGTTGTCCTCCAAAACACGACAATATGAATACTGATTGCAATATTAAATATAAAACAGTTATCGATATTTAATATTATTAACATTAAATAAAAGTACCTACAATATAATACATTAAAGATAAAATACGGTACAATGTCATGATATATCATACACTATATAAAAAAAATTGAAATGACTAAAAACTAGTAATGATGCTAATGAGGTCGTAAAGCTGTACAGGAGGCGAACCCGGCCCACAGGACATGAAACGTGAGCAAGTAAGGTCAGAGCTGTTGTGACCATGAAATCTACTGAATTTTGCTCTTAGCTTACAAGAGATCGCTTAAATGCCAAGATATTAGACAATTGAGTTGCTTGTGCACCGGTGGTACGGAGATCAGGACTCAGCTTGTTCCTGATAGTGACCAGTCGTGGTATATAGGAAGAGCTTAAGTCTGATGTCCTAACTCTAATTGGAGCAAGAGCGATCTGTTATTTTTTGTTGCTATCGCGAGTTCGGCACTGAGCATTTCTACATCAGTATCTTCAGTTATCACTTACATGGTAATGTTACCTATATTGGCCTGTCTTTTTTGACAAATTTTTACCAGTTTGACCGAGCGCACTTTATAGCACACGTTTTTTTTTTTTTTTAATTCCAACATGTAATCACCAAACGTGGTGACGGCACACTCAAGTTTTTTTCAACTTGTATCAATGCCGCCACCAACACAGGGGACACATACATGACAAGACAATACTCATTTTCACCTGGGAGAAGCAAGGAAAGTAGTGCAAAGTGCCTTTCCCAAGGGCACAAGATCGGTGGCATGTCAGGACTCGAACCCGGGACCCCTAGGTTACGAGTCGCGCACTCACATGACCCCAACAACATGTTAATTGATAACTGGTGTTTAGTATAGGTCGATAAAGATTAGATAATGCTTAGTAAGAGGCGCAGTGTAGGCTCCAAATTCGGGTCCAACTACCCAGCGACAGCAAATAAACCCGCTGGAACGTTATAAGAATAGTCTAATGCCGAAAGGGTATTACTAACCTTACATTTCAAAAACATAAACTTGCCATGTATGCGACACACTAGTTTCTTGTCGTGAGATCAAGAAAGTTGAGCTTGATAGGTATTGGCCGAATATTTAAAACAGGGAGGATTATGGACATAGTAACTGGCATTTTACAAAATAGAGACCCCCGCAAGCAGTAGCCTGGTATCCAGCCTTGTTAGCTTTAGTCCGCTACCCAAGATCCGCTCCCCGCCAACAAGACTGGGCGCCGTTACTATTCAAACGATTTCAGCAGGCGTACGTAATGAACTAGTAATGAGGTCACTCAACTGCCGCGCGCTGAGGCGGTTGCTGCCGATTGGGTGACCCCGCTGCGCGGTAGTCCAATCACCATGCAGTATTTTTCACGTGACGATTGTTGTTTTGCCAGAGGTCGGCTCCCGGGAAAATTCGCACAGCGAGTTCGCAGTACATAGCGAAGTGATATAGTTGGTCATTTTTGCGCCATATTTCCGTCTAAATCCGAAAAGAACCATGGAGGCAGTGATTAGCACCTTAGTGATACTTCTGACGATGGATTGGGGAGGAAAATTCGCCGCCAGATACAGCCAGAGACGGCTATGTCACGGCCGAGAAAGTCAGGCAAATGGCTGTCAGACTTGCATGATTTCTGTCGGTTTTGTGGCTCAAATCAGAGGATAAATGGAACTCTACAGCGCATTCGGCCCATTTTCCAACCGGGTAGAGGAGGGCAGACGATTGCTAACGTTCTCCACTCACTTGGCGTGGAAGTCTCCGAGGATGACAAGACCAGGTCGCATCGGATGTGTGACAAATGCCACCGCCATCTTCAGAAAGTTTTGGAGAATCTGAAACTTGTGGAAAAGTGGAAGCAAAATGAACTTTGCGAACCGGCAAAACCCCAGACCCCCACGTCTGCGAAGAAACGCTGCCGAGAATCGCCATCCAAAACACCAAGGGACTCGAAGAAAAGGCTACTTCGCACGCCAAAGTCACAAAAGTCTGGATCAAAAGACACCGCCGTCCGAGCTCGAGAGAAGATCACCGCTCCAGCCAACCTTGCTGCGCCACTCAGTAAAACTGCCTCAAAAGAACCGGTACAAAAACCCAGAAACCGTCTGCCGTGGAGAGAACAGAACTCTTGCCAACATTCCTGATCGACACAGTACAACAACGGTATGTTTACTCTTGCGTTGCTTTCGTTAAAAAAAACAACACATAAAAAAACATGGCGTCGATGACCGAGCGTAATAATTTGTTGAGAATTTTTCAGTTCGTGGCACACGGTAAAATTTGCTATATCGTCAAATTATATCGAAGGTAACATGGAGGAAACATCACTAGTAGTTCTTGATAGCTTTTTAAACCGTGCCAGGTCGTATAAACAAGTAACGTTGCATTTTTTACGAGTCACAGAGTAACAGTGTGAAGTTGTGAATTATAATTTTCTTGTGGTTGTGTTGTGCAAAAAACATCTGTGTAGTTCTGATAAATGACCTAGGTCTACATCTTTAGTTTTGCAAATGTTATTATACCCCAAGGTAAGTTCATGTGTAATTTATAATAGTGTAAACAAGTAGCAATATGTTACACAGTTGTCTACTTCTTAGACAACAAGGAATTTTTTTGTCAGCCACTGCACTACATTCATAATTAAGAGCTAGCAAATAGACCAAGACTGAAGTTAAAATTTTTGAAGGATAATTTGATAATGTGATAATTTTTTTCTAGAAAAGGACTCTTACCATGAACCATATATATTCCATGTTCCTGACTACCTTCTGTCCCTTATGTTCCAATATATGTAATATACATATATGGTAAATTGTGATAATTTTTTTCAGAAAAGGACTCTTACCATGAACCATATATATTCCATGTTCCTTACTACCTTCTGTCCCTTATGTTCCAATATATGTAATATATATTTGGTAAATTGGATTCATTACTCAAACTTCTGATTTCTCACCGTCCCTTTAAGTAAAGACATCTGGGGCCATATACTTGTATTTCTTGTATTCACACCACTGGTTTTTGCTGTGTGGCTTCTTCAAGTGTACAAAGGCTAAATGACACAGGTTCATAAAGTTCTGAAAAGTTATAAACTGCAGCTATGCAGCTTCAGTTCAGATGTCTTACTGAGGTGCAATTTGGTGTGTGAGATTTTGATTACCTTGAGGAGTGAATCCATTCCACCCCACTAATTATACTGTATGTTCTGTTACTTACAACATATACTTATATGTGGCCAAAACAATTTGTGACATTTAAATGACTGTTTCATTTTTCAAGACAGAAAACTTTCTTAGCCAGTCAAAGACAAATGTTCAGTGCTTTTTATATCTAAGTTTCTGTTAGTTATTAGATGGGAAAAAGAGCTAAAGATATTATGAGTACATAGATGTTACATGTGAGTTCAGTGATTTGACTGTTGTTTTTTTTACTTTTCCCTCCAGGTAACTGTAACCTACCCCAGCAGGGTGCACAGTCATCTCTGTGACAACAGTCTGGCAGGGGTGGTGGAAAACATAGCCAAGGGCAAACTGGAGACAGGAGCAAGGCTCATCATGGCACACCCACTCCTGTCAACTGAGATACAGCACCAGCTAGAGGCAAAACTACAGAAGGAAGTTTCCTCCTTGCTATCATTGGGCAGTGGACCCAGCATCCTTCGCAAAACAACACCAGAAGACCTGCAGGAGTTCTCCTATGTTGACATGGAACGGGACCTGAAGGCACGAGCACCCATCCTGCATTCTGTGCTTTCAACTGTTGGTGACCATTCAACAGTTCACACATGTGTTGCGGCATCGGTCATCATTAGAGCAAAAGAGCCCAGAATGTCTGCTCTAGCGTATATTATCAATGCCATACTACAACATGGTGGGGTGAAAAGATCAGCACTAGATAGACTTTGCAAGATGGGCATCACAACATCTCACAAACATGCGATAAAAAAGCAAACTGAGATGTCCCTACACTACGACCAGCCTGTAAAGCTATGGAGAAGAGAGATAGAACTGTATGAAGTCACTGCTGCTGTGAACCCAGGAGACAGTCCGGCAGTTCTCCCTCCAACCCCCAGCCTGGCAGGGCTCAACCCCACCCCCACCGCTGTGAACCCAGGAGACAGTCCGGCATTTCTCCCTCCAACCTCCAGCCTGGCAGGGCTCAGCCCCACCCCCACCGCTGTGAACCCGGGAGACAGTCTGGCCATGGGAGGCTTCCGGTGTGTTGTAAGTGATGATGAACTGGCCATGCTGGACCTGGGGAGGCTTGACATCTCCACCGATGCTGTGAATCAAGGAGACAATCTGGCCACGGGAGGCTTTCAGTGTGTTGTGACCGATGATGAACTGGCCATGCTGGACATGGAAAGGCTCAACATCACAAGCTCACCACCGCTCCTCAGCAGTCCACCCCACCCACCTCCTTCATACAGCATCATTTTTGACAACTTAAACTTCTTTGTCAAGACACACCACCAAACAGCCACCCAGCACAACACGCTCCACAACTGGACAAATCACATGGCAGTCCAAAACAAAGTCAACCCCCACCACCTTCCAGACAGCGGTGCTACAAAGCCTCTGCCTGATCTTGACCTGGATGAAGTTCTACCAACTCTTCACACACAGGCATGCTCCAGAGCAGAAACCATCGTGCTGTGCAGTAGGACCATCACCAGATACTGCAAAGCCTTTCACCCCTTCAAGGACGTTGTGGTCCGTCACATCCCCCACAAGTACAGCAAGGAGATGGCAGAGAAATCAGTAGAGGTCAGTTAAGAATATATATAAATTTAATTTACATTCAGACATAAGAACATTAATCATATTCAAACTAAACTTCTTGCTATGCCTATCTTTAGGTTTTTCCACCCTTTAGAATTTGTCAGTAAATGTTTTGAATGAAATTATGCATACTTAAGACATTTATTATGAACCTTGCTGTCGTGTGTCTTGAAATACTTAACATTGATGAAACTCTTCTTCTTGCCTCTCCAGGTACCACTAGGGCTCCTCTTCAAGGACGAGAATGACACGAGTGACCTTGTGGACATTTTACTTCACATGCAGAAAGAGTAAGCAATATTTACTTTCCCGTCATTCTGTCAAGGATGCTAACAACTGTGTTACACATCTTTGAAGCTTTTCATTAACTTTTACTTATATTCAGGCTGTCTGGAAACTTTGACATGAGTTTTTACCTTGACATTTACCTGATGCATGACTTGGTGAGGGAATATTTGGAACTAATAAGCAGATCCTCCTTGTCTGGTTATATTGACATGCATGCGGACGTCTTGGATTAATTAGACAATTGACTGACAATTGACAGTGCCTTTATATATTTTACAGGTATGTCCCAAGACGGGAGGGGAATCTCTGCCCGATATTCGCTGGAGGAGACCGACTTTCCGAGGGGAACTCCCGAAACATCCAATGGGCATTCCAAGACGGGGATACACCTGAAGACCGGTTGGAGGGCCTAATCCTCAAGTATGAGGATTGGCATGCCATCAGAAACCTATGCTTTGTATGTATAATTCATCATTTTATCATCATACAAGTATGCTGAGTATGTACAATGTATCTAGTATTATAATAATGAATGAAGCTTGGTAACAATTTCATACACTCCTTGTTTATGTTGCTCTCGTAAGGGAGATTGCATTGTTATAAGCATTCTGCAGTACCCCCTAAAACGTTTGACCCTGCTGATTGATGGTTATACCATTAATACATATCTGCCTAATACTGTTGATAGATCCTTAGGTCTAAATACTTAGTGTTGTTAATTTCTTCACAATGTCATTAATTACTTTGAAAACATTAGTGATTATAGTAAAACATTAGTGATTGTTTTCATGTTTTCTAGGTACACCGACGCATCTTCTACTTAGAGCAGTCTGCAAAGGAACATGGCACCATGGCATCCAACATGAATGTACTGAAATGTACAAACGCCAAGAAGGGACCAGACAAGGACTACAATTCCTACAAGGAATTTGTAGACAAGGAAACGGACTGGTTGATCCTGGCCGTAACAATGGACCACTTTGGCATGGAAAGTCTGGATGGTATGTGCTGTCTGTTTTGTAAACATAGCAATATTGACATTTTCATCATATTTTTTTTAATGACTGACAGCAGTTATTCTGTAGTCAAGCTGCCTTTTTGTTCTGCAACTTGAACATTGATTCATGGCTTGTGAGTAGATTTTTGGTCTAGTCTGGTGTTATGTGCAACTGCTCTTTACCATGCTGTCTTTCTAAAATGGCTTTTCTCCGTTTCATTTTCAGATACCCCAACAAAGGGCGGCTTTCCTGACCCGCAGGCCTTGGCAGAGTCCACCAAGGAGCAACGGAGACAATGGCTTACATCTCTAGTAGGTGCGGTTGTTGACAAATATGTCATGATGGAAGAGGGGGACATTCTTGGGAACTTGACAAAGTGTGTCAAGGACGCATTCTACCCTAAAGAATGTCCCTCTCATCCATGCCGGTATCCTGGCAGCGAGAGAGTGTATCTGTTCGCTACAGGACGAGACAGACATGAGACAAGAGTTCACGGTGGTATTCTAGAACCCACGCCTGAACCAGAGGTGACATCTGTGAAACCGAAGAGCACCCAGGAGCCAGACTACAAAAGAGCTCACACCTTAGCTTGTCTGGCTTTTGGGTTGCTGCTGAGGAATATGTGGGATAGTGTGAAAGAGGGGGACGGAGAGCGACTGCAGCGCCTCTACTCGTATGCCCTGTTATACTACAGGGCGTTTGGCCATACGCAGTATGCGTACAGCTGCCTCCTGATGAAAGTTCAGATCGCCTCCATCCTCTCTCCCTACAAGTCCCATAGCCTCATCTGGAATAGGTTCTACAACCGGCCGGGGGGGGGGGTAGGTAAGAACATATCGTTGGATCTCCGCCTAGAGCATCTCAACAACTTTCTCAAGAGTTTCCTCAAGAACATGGGACCAAACCTAAACGAGAAGAGCGCATCCAGAGTAAGCCGCAGTCTGTACTGCCTGGACAGGTTGATGTCCAACCAGGACAAAGTTCTGGGTGTGAAGCCACCTTCTGGCTATCACCATTCGGCCAGCTATGAGGATGATGTGAAGCTCCTCCTGGAAGAAACCAGAGAGGCCAATCTGTTGACTGTTGTCCCAGGCAGGTCTTTTGACGCCTTCCCTTCGTTCAATCGGAATCTTTTGAGTAGATTAAAGTACAAAGCCATGGCCGACTGGATGAAGGGAAAGCTCAGACTGTGGAACAAGCTGTACCATACCGATGTGTAATGTCTGGGTGCGCTCTTCTTATTTAGGTTTGGAACCATCTTTACCACTAGAATTGCACTATATTGCAGTGGGTCTGTTTTGCTGCTGTCACATTGATTTCCTCACTGGTGGTGCATTGCATTGTTGTATATGTCAACTTCTTTTTTTATGTTTAGAAGCTAGTAAGTTTGATAATGAAAAGGAATGCTTTTGATGTCAAGATGTTTCATATTAACATCTGTACTTTCGTCTTGCGAAAGAAAAGTTGAGTTTATTTTCTGTGTATAACTGTATGTTCAACATACCAGCTGGCATTTTCACACGTGAACTGTTTTTGCTTCCATTATAATCAAAGATGTAAGCACCTCAACAAACCTTTTTTTCTCTCCAGAAGTCTGATTATGGCTGGTAAAATTATTTGAATATGATCCAGTAAAGATTGTACGAGCATATACTTGTAACAAAGTTGAGTTTATTTTCAGTGCATCACCAATGTGCTAACATACAAGCTGACATTTTACATATGTGCATTGTACAAAAGCTACCTCAACAAACTGAAGTTCCTTTTTAACTTTGTTCTATAATGATTCTACATGTATTGCAGATGCATATGTGTACATGTACAGTTAAAGTTGCAAATGTAAATATACATATGTACAAAGAGTAGTCCATGCAGCATAAACAATGTGGTCCCAAATGTATATACAGACATGTAACAAGTTTGACTATGGCTGGTAAAACTAACAGCTTTGATGTCAATATGCTCTGGTAAAGACATATGATCAAATGTATCTCTCCTTCCTTTAACAACATTGAGTATACTTTCAGTGTATCAACAATGTGCAAATGTTAAGTATTTACATGTATAGGAATATATACATGTATGAATTCTATTCAGTGTTTGATGAGGATGTTCTTCCTTTTCTTGTTTATTCATATTGGTGATTGAGATAACTACCTAAGATATGGTGATGCAGTTAGGTTTAGAATCAGAAGAGAAAACAAAATACAGAAAAATATTATCAAATAGTAGGTAGTATTTTGGGGAGGACTAGTCCTCTTCTTCCGAGCCACACTCATAGAGGACCCAGTCATTGTCACTCTCATTGTCAGAGACTGTGAGGCCACCATCAAAGTGTTCTGAATAACTATAATCAAAGACAATTTCTTCTTTTGGTTCTACAGACTTTGGGCCAAGCCCCAACTGCATCTTGACATCTGGTATGTCTTCAAACACTTCCCCAATAATGAGCAAAATAGCATGGGCATGTCTTCTACTGAACACTGGTTGGGTTCTCTTTACGTATTCCAATGTGAAAATATGACAACTATGTTCAACTACAGACTCAATCAATTCTTCTCCAAAGCCTGTGCATTCTACATCTGTTGTCATGAGTGACACACTTTGATTAGACAGGGAATCCTTGTACTGATACATAAGCTCTCGTACAAAACTTTTGTCATCCTCATTCACTTCTCTTGCTCGCACCGGTAACTTAAGTAGAAACTCAAAAGATTCATACTCTGGGAAGGTGACAGGGCACACTGAGCCTGTACATTTACATTTGCGGTGACAAGCCGTGCAGCAGCTATGACCTGGCTGTACAGAGACCGGGTTATCTTCAAAATTGCAATACAGGCGCTTCCTGATACAGGTTTCATCTTTTCCTTCCACAAACTCTTTCACAGATTTATCAGCCTTAATGAGTTGCTGTCGATAGTAGTAAAGTACAGCATGGGCATCGCTGCCATCGCGGCCTGCTCTACCTACCATCTGCAGAATATTCTCAGGGTCCTCAGGAGGCCCATACAACACAATCTTTCCAACATTCTTAAAATTGACGCCCATGCCTAAAGCTGTTGTGGCCACCACAACTCTACAACTGCCATTCCCCAGTAGGGAATTCACAACTCTCTCCTTGTATCTATCTAGTGTAGCACTATGGTACATTCCGATCAACATGTTCTTGGATTTATTTCCCGTTACCCATGCATCCCTCCCCAGTTCAGATTTTAAGTGGCAAAACACTTTCCCAACAGCTTTCAATGACCTACAGTAAATAATGATACACTCCATATCCAGCCCTTCATTGCGAATCTTTTTAATAATCCAATCAAGACACACCATCTTGTCATAAGGGATGGGTACAAGACCCAATCTTATGTTAAGCCTGTTAGGACTCGCTTTTACCACACGAGCTGCATCCATGTTCAAAATCCTCTTCACCATCTGTACAGATTGTAGTTCAGCTGACGCAGTAAGGGCAAGGATAGGCGTTCCTATATGAATGAATAATACAAATATTAATAAGCAAACTTTCCCTGGATTAAAACAGAATGTTGACAACAATGGGTGAATTCATGAAGAGGAATAAAAATTTTTCAAATTGCATTAGACTAAAACAATAGTGAATATTTCGGTAGACAAACTTTGCACTGATAACTAGTAAGATGTAAACAAATGGGGCATCTTATTGGCTTAATAGTCATTCTCTTACCTTGTCTAACCAGCGACCTCAGCTCTCCCAGTCTACTGAAGGCCTCCCTGAATGCAGGTTTTCCTTTCGACCCATTGCCCCTGAATCAAAGAAAAGATAACATGTTGTCGTCATACATTGTACAGTATATCAGCAAGGTAGGTATCAGAGATCGTGTGTGTGTGTGGGGGGGGGCATGTTTATGTTAGGTGACTCACCTAAATTTAACTTTTTAAAATCTGGACAGACCCCATGTAACTAATATTTATATTTATATATTCCTCCAGTTTTTGTTTTCCAATACCACAAAAAAGCCAGAAGGAGAAATTCAAGCATGCAAAGCATTATGCAAATGTGTTTACTTGAACCTTTTAACTGCCTTATCACATGCAAATGTTAATTCACACACACACTCAAAAAAAAAGGACGCCCGGGGAAAACGTTACACTTTGGTAAGTGAAATTTACGTTCAAGAGAGCACTACATGCGTTTTATGCTTTATTTCTAGAGGCGATTATTTTGAGAGGAGACGTTACCATTTGTACGTAACGTGGACTTCATCCACGACAATCCCCGCGAGGCGTTCGCTGTACACGGCAGAAGACAGCATCTCCCTCCACTTGTCCTGCAGCACGAAGCGCTCGGGACCACCATACACAAGCTGGTAGTCTCCATTTATGACCCCTTCGTCATCGTTTCCCAGCTGGACTGCTTTTACGCCAAGCTTGGCAGCCTCCCGAACCTGGTCCTCCATTAATGCTACCAGCGGCGAGACAACTATCACAATAGGGTTCGTGCGACCCAGCTTCACTAACGGGGCGATCTGGTAGATCAGACTCTTGCCGAAACCGGTGGGCAAGAGTGCCAAAACATCTCTCCCACATACAAAAGATTTCAGGGCATCAACTTGCTCGGGTTTGAGTGAAGTGATCCCGTCCAACTCTTGTAAAACTGACGCGATCGCGGAGTCAACACGACTGTCGAGCTGAGCGGCAGCCATGTTGATGATGATAGACCTCGCCCCGGAAAGGACCCTATACCGAGTAGCCAATCACAGCGCTTGCACCTATAGCTTGGCGAATACGCCTGCTGAAATCGTTTGAATAGTAACGGCGCCCAGTCTTGTTGGCGGGGAGCGGATCTTGGGTAGCGGACTAAAGCTAACAAGGCTGGATACCAGGCTACGCAAGCAGCATAATGGTACATTCCCCTACATGACCTTGTCCCTGTCTCTAGAGCTAATGCTACTGCACGTTATCTTTGAAACAAAAACACCATCTTCATCCCCCAGCCAGAACAAAAAAGACTTAAGAACTCTTTTCTCCACCAGTCTATCACAACTTTCTATGTCTAAAATGTACAGTTCATATCAGTAATATGTATATATTCATGTATATATGTATGTAAATACAATGTTATGTTACGCTATGTGTTTATTTTTAATGTTATGATTGAAAATACCAATGTCATGCAGACAACACTAAAATTCTATATACTGTGGTACTGTATACTCTATGTCTGTAATGTTGGTATAATGATTAAAAAAAAGAATTGAATTTGAATTCCGAAAATGTTATGAGCCTTTGGGGTCTGGAATTGCACAAAAACGCGAATGGCAAAGAAATACTGAATATTGTTATTTTTACCAAAATGTATTTTTTGCCTAATTTCTCCCCGAAAAGATTTCTACACTTAATCCAAAATAACTTTTTAAAACAAAAATATGTAACCCAGCATATCACATAAATATTCTTACCAGTTCTGGCATGGTGTAAAGTTTCATCACAGAGTTCAAATTCGGGCAAACATTTCTTAAACTTTTTTTTTCGAACCGATTTAACGCAAAATGTAAACCGAACCACCGTTTGATCTGGCGACTTTAAGCCGTTTTTCCATGTGTACCTCCTACCATCAACTTTCAAAAATATAAACCAATTTCTAAACAGTACATCTATGCTGCCTTTATATATGGATTGTTTATTGATACTGTCGTAAACATAAAAGCAATTTTGTTCTGCATATGTATTATGTAACGAAGCTACAGCCGTAATCGTGGGAGACCTTGAAGATCGTGATTATTGTTTACACGGATTTATATATATCACCAGTGCAAACATAAATTTTAAAACAAAAACTCAATTTACTTTTAAAAAAGTCTTAAATCTAAAAATATATACAATACAATACAATACAATTCAATACAAAATCCCGGGTCAGTGTCGGACTTTTCTTTAAATATCATGGTACAAATTTTAAATATCGGAATATTTGCGATATTTTTTTACCGTAGCAACACTTAAATTTTGAAAAAAAACTGCCTAACTCAAATCTCTATATCATTTAAATGTTTAAAAAAATTAAAAAAGGGATAGCAAAACTTTAACTTTCAAACAAAAACTGTCCAACTCAAATCTCAATTTTGTTTAAATGTTAAAAAATGAACCGAAGGGAAATCTGAGGCCAGTTTACATCAGTTGTTTTGTTAATATTTTGTAGTCTACAGAAAAGCATTCAACTGGCTTAGTAGGTTGACTAAGAATGCTATGAAGAGAATCCTGTTGAAGTAATGTTTGCTACAGTGCAGCTTTCCCTAAGTCACATTTCCAAAGTGGGGCCAGGTCGGGTTGGCTGTTTGTATAAGAAAAAACAAATATCAAGAATATATGAAGAATGTACAAAAGCTGTGCTCATAATGTTTTTGAAAGGTTTTTGTGTGTTTTGTTGCCAGGCTGGGCCCACAGTTGAAAATTGTAACCTTAACATAAAAACAGCAGTGCATTATCTAATGTATAACAGCTGATTAGGTCCTAGCTTCTGGGACTATGCTAGCAAGGAAAGTTGCCGTAGGGCTCTGAGTTAGTCCTTTAGCGAGGGATATATTTTTCTCTGCTTATTCTCTATTCAAAACTATGGATTGCTGAATTGTATTGACATTTCACAAAGGTACAAAACACAAAGACTAAGTCTGCTTTGGACTGTTGGAGAGTCTAATTGCGTGGTGCAGAAACAGACTCTGTAGTCTGGAAGTCTAGTTAATACATCCATCCCTCTTTATGTCCAGTAAACATGTATAACATCAACAGTTCTTAATCCCATAATTAGTCTGACTTATACAGAGCTAGCTCAGACCTTCTATTCTCCCATCTGGTCATTTGGTAGTTGTTATGAATGACATCAGCGAGCGCATTGTTTTTGCCCGATTTTGAAAGGCTGAAGAATTGCTGTTGCCCTCCGACTGTGGTTAACATGCCAAAATTTGTAAATTTAAATGTCTTAAAACTGTCCATCGGCAAGACAATGATCTAAATTATTGTTTAGATTTTATTTTTTATACAGTGTTGTATTTCATTTTGTTTATGTACCATGTTGCCATCGAATCGAAAAAAAAATTGCACACTGATTGAAAACTTTTATTTTAGAGACAAATGTAGCAATTGAAGGAATTGCGAGTGTTGACAGTCTAAGGTGTCCCATTGCAAAAAACAATGCTCAGTAAAGTAGTTTCCCATGATGATGTTATGATTCCTTGAAATGTACATATCTTCAAGGACAGGTGATACTGTTTATTTAAGACATGCTAATTATCATATCGTGTTTTGTTTGCCTGAAGGCCTTCCTGTTCAACAAGTTTTACGATCTCAATTGAAAATAGAGCTTTTTTTCCAAGCTTTGTTTTTTTTCAATTTATTGCATTAAATTTGTAGTCTGCTTTGAATTTATCAATACAATTCCAAGGGTGATGAATACATTCTATGTGCCCAAACAAAATTGGTTATATAACAAGTGGTTTGGTTATACATGTATATATACAAGTGTTGGTTTTGCCATGATAATAGTGCAGGCTAGGTGCAGGTCGATCATAAATACTCGCACAGCTTTACTTTTACCTGCACTGACCTGAGTTTGAAAATGTTTTTATGGTCCTGAAATAACGTCACATTTTCATTCTGACTGTTAACAGAGTCACAATGGACCGGGTCAACAGAGGAGAGAACAATCCGGAGCACTATCCACAGGAGCCGACAAGTCCCGGGGAGAATAAAGAAAATCAACGTTCTGATCAGAATGTGCTGTACACAGAAAGCACAGCAAGAATGTCAACATGTGGCCAAAACTGTCTCAATTCACAAGAACAAGACAGGTCGGAGGTTACCTATGCAGGTGGAATCAAAGCTAAAAGTACGACTAGAAATAATCATTATTGTGTGGAAGATACTAACGACGATACCCCCACCCCAGAAGTCGCTGATGTATATTTTGTATCTGATACGATCCATGCTGAAAACTCTGCCATTTACCCTGCATGGGGACAAAATGAAGATGATGGTGACGCTATTGGAAACAGTGAAGAAGAAACGCAAGTCAAACAAGCAGGCAGTACAGTAACTATGAACTTCAACTCCAACAGAGAGTCTGACAAATCTCAGCCTGAGACCACAAGAGACGATAGTAATAACAAAACTACTTGTAGGCAGGGAAAGATCTCTAATGATGGTGACATCGAACCTTACGCAGTTTCACACATTGACGAGGTCCCAATATCAGACAGTACAATAATTGATGATGGTGACTTCGAACCATACGCTGTTACAAACATGATCGATAATGAAACCTATTTCAGCGGAACAACAGATGTTCGCCAACAGGATTCAGACACCACCGAACATGTACACAAACTTCGCAATCCTCCAAATGCAAAGGACTTTCATCCAAATCCGATGTATAGATCAAGCTCCCAGCAGGCCAGTCAACATAATGGTAAGATGGCGGTCTTATAAAAGGTTATTTTTGTTTGATACGTGCACTGTTCGAGGTCAAGCTTGTTGTTTATACATTATTCTACTATAATCTGTAAATTTTTTTCCATAAAATTTACAGTATTTGGGGAGCAATTTTATGTGCACATATAAGCATTTAGGAGCCCTTGATATCTATATCAAGGGCTCCAATATATTTATATGTGTTTTTTATTTTCTCCAGCAATCTGTATAATCTGTTTTTTACATGGTAATTGCAAGTTAAAAGTGGGTGATTTTAAAAATTCTAGTCCCTTCTCATACAATTTTTTCTTCACCTTTCTTTTTTTTTTGCATTTTTGAATATGGTGTTTTGATTGCTATTTGAGGTCTAAAGCTTTTGATTCACACATTTTCTGATTGATTTATAACTTCTGCTCTTTCATTGTGTTTTGCATATATATTCACATTCATGGAAATGTCTTAAAGCTACATTCAGTATTTTTCTGTCTTTTTTATTGTGTCCCGCTGGCTTCCTTATCTCTCTGAGTTTCCTTTTCTGTTTTAGGAGAGAGTATTCCTCTATCTCTGTGCTTCAAGTCTCCCTTCATCATACTAGTGAGCAGATTGACGCAGTGTCTTTTATTTCGTACCCATTGCATCTCATCATTATCCACTGAGTTCTGCATCTACAGCCGTCCCTAAACGTCCTGTAGCCACATTCAGTCTTTATTCATCTTTGTCCACTTTGTCTTCTGCCTCGCGAGCTCTCTAAGCTTCTTGAGATTTTTTTTCAGTTGTGAGAGGGCCTAGCCCTTGATCTGTGCTTCATGTCTTCCTTCAGCATGCTAAGCAGTTTGGTGCAGTTTGTCCCTTTGCGAGCTTTATATTGAAATGGAGCTTAGCAATTGAAATTCCAGGGCTTTCTGTGCAGGTGTATCTTGTGGCATTCTGAAGATGTGCCCAAACAAGAACTTTTCTACGGTGTGCAATTGGTTATCGTTCTTTTTCGCCATTGGTGTTTGCAATGGCAGATGTCCAAATTTTTATATAACTGCCTTTGAAACTGCCCAGCTGTTCAGTTGTAACATAATCTGTTAGTATGGTTGAAACGCAGTTTAAGCATTGTACAGTTGGAGCTTCTTTGTCAAAGTAACCCAGATCTTTGGATCCAGATCTTCCTGAAAGATTCAAAAGCAACGTTACCCATGATGAAATGTGCTTCTACGATGGCAGAGCTACAAAGGGGGGGGGGGCACAGGATTTATCTTTCTCCAATTCCTCCTCTCGCAGTGGTTTGTTTTCTTTGATTCAGTACAC